CCACGTAATTTGAATGACTATCTGCCAAAACATATACTTTGAACCTATTGGCTCTGGGTTTTCCTTGAATGAACACAGTTGGAATTCCATTATATCTCCCTTTATACCCAATGATGGCTTCGTCTATTGCCACCCCACAATGAAGATTATACATCTGTTGTGATTGATGTATTACAGTTTTCAGTATTGGTGCAACTTTATACATTGGTCTATGTCTTCTCTCTGTAGCTCTCTCAGCAGGATTACTTATATTACATGTGTAGCTGGATCATTTCTTGCATCATTGGCATGAAAATATTGCAATATTTTTTGAAACCTATTACGGCTTATTACACCTGCAATTTTTTCATTTCTTAAAGCAGTATTTGTTGACCAATAGTCATTCAGTTCCCCTTTTGGATCAACTCCCATAATTATCATGATGCCTAGAAATGCTGCCATCTCATCATCATCTTTGATCTTAGCCCAGTGCTTGTCCGCTCCTTTGTTTCTTTTTAGCTCCGCTGTCGACTTTGTCGAGTGGAGCTTATCATATGAGTGATTGTCCGTCGTCGTCCGGTGTCCGTGTCAATGTTTTACTTTTTCGAATTCTTCTTGAAAACTACAAGCCTGAATGCTTTGATACTTGGTGTATATGTACCTTGGGTAGACCTCTCTCAGATTTGTTCATTTCATGATATCTTCAATTCTCTAATTTTGATGAATATTTTTGTCATTTTTGGTAAAAAGTGATATTTCCTTCTTGTTAAAAACCACAATCATTTATGGTTAAAAATTATATTTTTGAATTCTTGTTGAAAACAGCAAGTCCCATTGCATTGATACTATGCATATTGTTCATTTTCTAATGATATCTTCTGTTCTTTAATTGAAATGTGCATTGCTAACAGCGGAGCTATCTCAGCCGAGAGGCTGCTTGTTATATATTTTGCATAAGTATTAGTCTCTCTCTGAGTTTGTCACAAGCGATTAGGAAATATTTTTCAAAAGCACTTATTGGTGTAGGTATGTCTGCTTTGTTCACATTGGGACCAGGATGTTCACCTGTGAACTCTTCAACAACATGTCTTCGGAGTGTCAGAGTCCAACCATCACTATCAGCAACATTGTCATCATCTTCATCATTAGAAATACATGTAGGTTCAATATACTCTGAGTCACTTGGCCAGGTTGTTTCTATTTGTGTGTGAGCATGAATGCGATGACGTGTGCTGTTCCTGTCATCATCATCAGAGTCAATGTCTTCACCTGGCCATGCCACTGTCAAGATCAGGAGGTACTACCCCTTTTTCACCATCATCATCACTACTATAAAGGTCACTTTCATCATCACCCTGATTCTCTCTGCCATCATCATTTCCATCATCCTGATCGTCATTGCCATCACCCTGATCATTGCCATCACCAACCTCATTTTCATTGCCATCACCATCCTGGTTTTCATTGCCAACACCATCCTGGTTTTCATTGCCAACACCATCCTGTTTTCATTGCCATCATCCTGATCTTCATTGCCATCACCCTGATCTTCATTGCCATCACCCTGATCTTCATTGCCATCACCATCCTGATCTTCATTGCCATCACCATCCTGATCTTCATTGCCATCACCATCCTGATCTTCATTGCCATCACCATCCTGGTTTTCATTGCCATCATCCTTATCTTCATTGCCATCACCATCTTGATCTTCATTGCCATCATCCTGATCTTCATTGCCATCACTCTGATCATTGCCATCACCATCCTGGTTTTCATTGCCATCATCCTGTTCCTCATTGCCATCAATATCCTGGTTTTCATTGCCACCACCCTGATCTTCATTGCCATCACCATGATCCTTATTGCCATCACCATGCTGATTTTTATTGCCATCACCCTGCTCATCATTGCCATCACCCTGGTCCTTATTGTGATCACCAACTAGGTTCTCAATTCCATTACCACCCTGGTTATCCTCAATCTCTATGTCCCTTTCACCAGTCACGTTACTAGTACTCTGTCTCTTTTTATGATGTCTTGGCCGTTTTCGGCGTTTAGTGGTTTGGGCAGAATGGGGATCACATGTATCACTATCACTGTCTGCATAGCTGATCTTATGATCTTGAGCGATGTCTGCGCTTACGAGAATGAGAACCTACATGACTGGGGACATAGGTATCACTAGTAGTGTCCATAGGAAAAACTTGGTTATCTCTTACCTGATCATTTTGTACCCTCTCCTTCGATTCAGTTGGCAAATGATGCTTCTTCACTCTCACTTTGCCAGATCTATTCTTAGACGATTCTGTAATGAGATCATGTTCTTGTTCAGTTGTATTCAATGAAGCTATGTTTCATGCAAGAGTAACAATCTGTAGGACCATGCACTGCAATGACAGTAACAAATGAAGACTATTAGCCCATAATTCCAAAGTATGAAATCAATTCATTTACTCATTGATTTTATCAAATGTAGTATGATAATCTGATTTACAGGAAATGTTGTGGAGGCAAGTCATATACAGCATTCATATGTAAATTATGAATAGCCTAGTACATGTAGTTAGCTTTCATGGTCACTCAAGTTATATAATATGATTGTTTATTTGCAAAGCAAACAACCAAGCTCAACTGCCTCCTTTCATGAAAACAAAGGGTGCTTCATTTCTATTTGCACAAGCCCAAGTGCAACTTGCTAACTTACTTGATTGTCTACATTCAATTTACTTGTAGTATAGAATCACCCAAGTCAAACTCAATCAGTTTTTTTGAACATCCATGTTGAATGTATTTGTAGTGTAGACAATCAAGTGTAATATATCGTTCAAGTTCAACTTATTTGTAGTGAGACAACCCAAGTTCACTTAATTTGTACTGAAGACAACTCAGTTCACTTATTTGTACTGAAGACACTCAGTTCACTTATTTGTACTG